GCCTTGAGTTTTACACTCCTGGCCTATTGAAAGAGATCTAATGCCAAGGATATCAGTTTTTAAAAGATGTAAATTCCATCCATGATTAGAATTTATCTTTTATGAGCATCATGCAAGTAGCCCAAAGGCAGACAATTGAAGCAAAGCAAAATATGGTAATTCTCATCTTAACAAAAGTTTAATTTAAAATGATGTATTGAGATCTGATTATATTGTTTACTTTGGTTTTTTTTTCCTTGGGGGAAATTACAGATACATTTAAAAGAAAAAGGAGAAGGAAGAAGTACATTTAGTGTATATTAGGAAAAGAAAACTTAAGACTTTCCAGATAATACGATTTTGCATTTGGAAAGAAAGAAAGAAAAGCATGCAACATTATTTAGGAAAAGAGAGAATATTATGAAATTGGTAGCTGAGTAACTGAATAGTATCTGGTACAGGCAGTGGTTGCATTTACATTTCATAGCTAAACAGAATTATTCAGCATTTTGATTAGGTATAAATGCCATGATATGTTGGTTATATCTACTTGGCCCTTTCTTTCAGATAAAATGGCTAAACCAATCATAGAAGCTTCTTGCTCTGTTTATCATGATATGGAAACCAGGAATCGAGTTTATTAGCCACTAATATCAAAGTCAGAAGTCACTGTTTATTAGTAGTTTCCACTCCAATTTCTGTCTCCTTTGGAGAGAGAAATTAGAGATGCTTTTTTGCACGTTATAGAAACTTCCTTCCATTATTTGTTGAGCAGACCAAGCCAAATAAGAGAGAGGAAAAAGCACACCCCAGAACATTTATGCTTATGGAATAACTGGACTATATGCAAACATGACCAAGCAGAGATAATTTGTTTGCAGTTATTCCCAGAAATTAAATCTTATGAGAATGGAAATCTTTTATCATTTTTAAAATACTGTATTTTTCAGACTATAAGATGCACCTACCCACCCTCGCAAAAAAAGTGGGTGGAAATGTCTGTGCGTCTTATAGAATGAATGTTGCTGAAGCCCCACCCATCCGCTGGCCCCCACCCTTCGGCTTCTGCCTGCCAGCAATTTGCCTCCTTGCAGCAAACAGCCTGACCAGTTTTATCACAGCCTGATTTAGCATGAACAGCCTTTTAGATCGGCCTCTGGGAATACTGCCTATAAGCTGTTCCAGGCTGTGGGGATCGTTGCTGCCCATCGGGACCAGTGCCACCCATTGCCGCGGCCACCTATCACCCCCTCTATGCACCCCATTTTCAGCGTCCCTGCATCCTGTTTTTGGAATCGGTGCGCCTCATTTTCGGCCTCCACATGCCCCATTTCTGGCCCGTTCCAGGCGGTGGGGATAGGCGGCTTTGGTAATCCTCGCTGCCTGGAATGGGCCAAAAATGGTTTGTGTAGAGGCCAAAAACAGAATGCATGGAGGCCGGAAATGTTGCACGCGGAGGCAGCAATAAGTGGCAGTGCCGATGGGTGACGGTGATCCCCGCAGTCGGTGGTATTCCAGGAGGCAGATCCAATGGCCAATCAGCTGCTTGTGCTACATCAGGCTGTGCTGAAGCTGACCAGGTTGTTTGCTGTTTGTTGTAAGGAGGCAAATTGCTGGGAAGCAGAGGCAGATTTTTTTTTCTTGTTTTCCTCCTCAAAAGCTAGATGTGTCTTATAGTCCGAAAAATACAGTACTAAGGTTTCTGGTTTTTAAACTATTCAGAATAAACAGCAATTAGAACAGAACAGAATAACAGACCTAGAAGGGACCTTGGAGGTGTTCTAGTTCAATTCCCTGCTCAGGCAGAAAACCCTGTATCATTTCAGACAAATGGTTGTCCAATCGCTTCTTAAAAACTTCCAGTGTCGGAGGATGTACAACTTCTGGAGGCAAGTTGATCCACTGATTAATTGTTCTGATTAATTGCACAAGTGGAAGATGTCTCGTTTCTTTCAGTAATATGTATTATGAGTTATTATGAACCTAAGGGTAAAAAGTTAGCATCGGCCTCTTTTTAGATGCAGAACAACAGAAGTTTCATCTCTTGGATGCCTGGTGGAATGTTTCCTGACAGATATGATCAAACTCAAGAGGTTGAGAGGATTTTGGAGTATCGTTACATCAATGACTATCGAGGAAAGAAGGGAAAAGTTTACCTTTTGGAACCATCTTTCATGCGGACTTTTGCATATAGCACATCAATCATGGCTGGGTCATCATTCATGTACTCGATACCTCTTACTTCCACAGTTAGCGGTTTGCCTTCGGTAATTGTGCTATTTAAAAACAAAAAATAAAAGGGTCTGTGCGAACATACCAAATGGTTCATTCTGAACTTTAGCAAGCAACTACATATTTTGTTACTTCAACCCTGTTAGACATAAGAAGCACCACTGGCCCGATTGTATGTAACCTGCTGTTCAATTTAATATATTTGAGTGCTGTTAGTTCCCCAGCTGTATACCGTATTTATCGGCGTATAACACGCACCGGCGTATAACACGCACCGGCGTATAACACG